TTCCATCCAGGGGACAGGTACTCCAGTTAGTACATAATATTTTAACACTTACTTAAATAAGTTATTCACATACAGTTAATAAAAATGTTACAAAAACATTTGTAAAAGTACTCTTAATTTTTATAACTGAAAAAAAAAAAATCATTTACTCGCTCTAGTTCATCATTCAGCCAGTCTACAGCACTTGTCCATTTTCTTTTTATATCACCATTACTATGAAGCATATGTGCAGCTGCTGGACAAGAGGTAAACAAGGTCACCAAACACTTGATGCATTGATACGCCCTCTTCTGGTAGTGATTCTTACTACGTTGAATTGTGTCAAATAAGCCATCTCGATCATCAGGAATACCTATTTCAGAATTTATAGCAGATTTAACTTTCTTTTTTTGTTTATAACATCACTGTTCGTTTCTCTTTACTTTAAACAACTTAGCATAATTTCACACATAATGTTAAGAACATTTAAATTATTTAAATTTAAGAAGATTTCTATAAAAAAAAAAAGCCAGAAACTCTAGCATTTTTAAATAGTCCACTATTCTTTTCACTCCTGAAGAAGAATAGTCAACTATCTGAAAGCATTTTAATTTCTGGGTGTTTCGATTTGTTTTTGTTATTGTTCCTTTGTGCTGATTCTTTTATCATGGTTCATATATAATTTTTTTCAGTTTGATAATCACCAAAATAATATTAATGGTTTATCATTCAATGAAAGGAAAAAAGTAAGCAAGACAGTAAAAACATTCTTGTGCATGGAATAAAAAACAAACAACTAATATCTACAAAAGCATGTCCAGGTATGTGATACAGTTACATGGCCAAAAGCATTTAACTACACTTAATAATGGTTTTAAGCTTGCCTTTAACAACATTTTATAGTTGATATATTCCAAAGAAGATTTAAAACAAACTGCAAAAAAAATATAACATATTAGGATTTTTTAAAGAAAAAACATTGAAGTTCAAAGTCTAAAATCTTTATTATGTAAAAGTAAAACAAATTTCATAATTTGGTTACAGGCCTACAAAATGTTCATTACTTTGAATAAAACTGTACACTGAATGCTTTAAATTCCACAAAAAAAAAAGAGTTGTTCACAAGGTCACTCTTGAACATATATTAATAAATACAAACACAAAAAGTCAGAAAACCTTTTAGAGCATTGTGAATTCGATGATTTTGCCACGAGTCCTCTAACAACAAAATATGAAGCAGCAAGTCTAGGTATGGTCGCAGTTCGTATGTATAAGAGTAAGCTATTTGCCAAAGAAGTTCACTCAGCACCACTGAAGAGAAGTGAGGATTCTCCCAGGAACAGAACTGAAGATGAAAAAGATTAAAATTACATAAGTAATAATAATGATTATGATAAGAACTAAACAGGGTTGTAAAAATTGCTAATAGAAAGATTTGAAATTGGCAGAAAAAAAGTTACAAAATCTGAAATTATGGAAGAGAGATCACTTTACAAAAGATTCATACATGTAAAACAATTTCCAGAAAATTTGCCCCTTCCTCAAGAGATGTTTTATTATTATTTTTTTTGGGGGGGGGGGTCAGTATCAATAGCATATAGTAAATCTCATTTACTCAAGAACCCCCTTGGGGTGAAAGATTTCTTGACATGCATTAATGTATGTGTGGCAACACATGCCAGTCTCAGCTGGCTGTATCTCATTGTACCAATGTAGTGCCCAATGCATCATGACACAATACTTTTTTTCCTTTATAATAGCAATTAAAGTCCTTCAAACAAAATCAAAATTTAGTAGACAGAATGTTCAATAGCTATCTATTACAGTCCTGAGGATGACATGAACCCATGGGAATGTGGATACGTAATTTTAAAAACTACTTGCACTCCAATCAAACCTTTCGGTTTACATATTCTTCAGTAGTTTTATAGAAAACTACCATACTACAGAATTGTGGCATTGTCTTTACTCTAGTATTTACATACAAGCTAATACTGATGTCTATGTAATTTAATACTTTAGTGACATCCTGTCACAGCCAACTTATGATTTACCACATTTCAATGAAACAAAATATCCAAGTTTAAGTGCTCATTTAGAAAACAGAATCCAAAGTGCTTTAGATGTTGTAACGGTCTGGTTAAGTTCATTATTTTTAGTGTTTAAAATTGTGCTTTAGATGTTATAATGGTCTGGTTAAGTTCATTGTTTTTAATGTTTAAAATTGTGCTTTAGATGTTGTAATGGTCTGGTTTAGTTCATTATTTTTAATGTTTAAAATTGTGCTTTAGATGTTGTAATGGTCTGGTTAAGTTCATTATTTTTAGTGTTTAATCCTTAAAATTACACTACACTATTTAACTTCTTAGTATTGCAAACAAGTTTACTTAGTATTTAAAAATAAAATAAAGTTGTCATCAGACTTCCAACTTATTATGTTCTGAAATATATGTATGGTGAAAACAGTACCCTATAATTGAATAAATAGAGTTGTTTAAACATTTGTTTAACAACAAGTAAATGCTTGGGATGATCTATTCTTTCATTGGGGGTGCATCTATGAGCCAGACTAGTTACGGAGAATTCCACTCCTCATCAGTGACCCTGGATACTACCACCAATGAAATATCAGACCAAACTAAGCCTTTATATTAGTGAGGTATCGAAAATCGAACTGGTGTATTTAAGTGTTTTACACTCACAAGAAAGAAACCTATCATTCTATAGGTATTTGAAGGAATAGGAATTACAGAGTCACTTTATAAATAGTGACTAAAAGTAAAGTTTACTGATAGTAAAACTCCATAGAAGATGTATCATACCACTTTAGGAAAGATAGACTTTGTGTACTTGAAATTCCTGCTTTAACCAAAAGAATATACATAAAAAATTTAGATTATTGATGAGAAGAATATTGGTACTCATGGAAATAATGGTATAACGTGCAGATCAAACTTAATTTTATCAACATGAATTAAAATAAATAAGATAACATAGTCATTCCTTGACTTTCATTTTTGAATTTCCACAACCATGCTCACCTTATCTGAATTTTAAAATTACTTGCATTATCTGAAGCACTAAATAAGCAATAGGTGTAGTAAGAAATTTTAGTTTTCAGATATTTTTTCAAGTGAAAATGTCATATTATGAGACAATCAATGTATAGGCAATTTTCTTTACTTTTAACAATGTGCATTTTTTGGAACTACACTAAATTTCTGAGAAATAAACATTGACATTTAGTGAGTTTATTTATAAGTGCTTTAATCATCTGAGTGTTAAAAATTAGTCTTGATTTCATAGTCCTATTTGAAATAGACTAGCACTTTTGTGTAAAATTAGTTTCTGTAATTCGGTGGTATTCTAAGGACAATCCTGTTTTCAGAAAGAATTCTAAAAACAAAACTAACCTTTACTAGCTTTGCTGTGTCTTCGGATGCACTCGAGTCCTCAATCACCTTCTTCACATAACTAAAATCAATTATTATTAGAACTCAGATAACATAAAACACACATTATAGACCTATTTACTCAAGTACGATACATGTAAGCAACAAATACTGTTCAATATAACATGCAAACTCGTTTCACCTCCACTTATCCCTTATAGTGTGAACACATCTTGAAATCTCTATTATATCATGATGAAAACCAGGTAAACATTACAGCTAAGTAAGGGAAGTAACGGATATCAGAAGATATTCTGAAATGTGTTTGAATATAGTATTTAACATTTTTAAAAGTACTGTACTAACTTTACACAGACTAGTGAGAAAATGTAAATGAAACACATTTTTAATGTGAGTTAAAAGAATAGATTTATTGTTGTTGTTGTATGAAAACATTACCCATTACAGAGTAATCTACAGATTATAAAGTAATATTATTTGTAGTTCAAAATATTCTTTTCCTCATCTTCACCAAGTTTTTCATTAAAACAACACTACAAAATGTTGATATAATCTTTGCCATAACACTAAGGGAAAATTGGGAAGACAGAGAATATGATATTACGAAATCTTTTGTAGATTTCTAATTTACTCTGACATAGATTTTCCAAGATTTGAACCACTTAAAAACTAATACTATTTGGGAGCAGAACAATAAAGGAAAAGGTGAAACATCCTTTAAATTTGAACTCGTTGCCATCACTCATTAAAATCTGGTGATGTGAATTTGCCAAAAAAATAAAAGAAGAGAGAGCGAGAGCCTAAAAGTTCTGATTTGTGGAGTTATAGCTTATTAACCCTATGTGCACAGGTGGAGGCCAAATAGTGCATGCCACAATTTTTTACAGAGTTACGTATAACACAGAGGTGTCAGAGGTATAAACTGTCCATTTTACCCTAAATTGCTGAATTAGGAATGAGTAACAGTGTGTGGCAGAGGAGAGTAAATACCAACACAACATACAGGGATACTGAAAAAACCTGTAGATATGTATTTCAGAGGTTAGGCAAATGCAATAAGAAAGCTACACAATTGATAAAATTATTCTTATTCTACACATGAACATCATATTGCACTCTACATGCCAGAGTCCAAGTCAGACTAAATCAATTCACAGACATACTGAGTATGAATACTTTTGTAACACAGCTGATTTTTTGTGTTCAACAGACTTGAACACTTTACTAAAAGCTTGCCACATTTTTTGTAGATATACCTAGTAAATTTGGAATTATAATCAACATTCCTTCTTTAATATAAAGTTGGTCCAATGGACTGATCTCATGCACATTTGGTTAATAAAGGTACTGTTTACACTTATAGAAAGCCCAAGTTAAGATGTTAGTTATTTGTATCAAAACAAAATTGTATTGAATCTTAACTCTCGCTACAAAGTCAGTCGAATTGACTGACCTCATAACCATTTTGTACTCTTTATAGTTTTCACACTATAACTCTTAATACATTTTGTGCATCTTCACAAAATTTGGTGGACTTTTAGTAAACATTACAAGTCTTTTGTACATAAAAAATCAATTTTTTAATGAAGTATTTACTACTTAAGATTTGTCCATGAATATACATTTTATTTCTATGTACTAGTCCGAGTGCTAAGTGGTTTCCACTTTAGGATTAAAAAATACTTTTCTTCATCTCAAAAAATCTCAAATTTTATTTATGTAATCTCTAAAACCTACTAAATAAAATTCAAACTTTTTTTCAGTAAAACTTCATAT